ATTGAGAAAGCAGGAGTAGGGGTGGGGGAAGAAATTTAGGCAGGATTTTGTGTTGGCCTGAAACAGTGAAGAGAAGAATCCGTGCCAGACAAGAGCCAGGTGGACAAAAACCATGACACGAATCTGAGCTCTGACAGCAGCAGCTTACCTGGCTCTGGCCAACCAAGCAGAAAACGTTGTGTGGGCCTTGGGAGCCTCTACAGCCCATAAACTTAAGAGCAGTTTGCAAAAAATAACTTCTTGCTTTTTGCATAACAGCTTTCACGTGGAAGGAGCCTGAGCACTGTTGACGTGCAGCAAGAGGCAGCGCTGCCTTGGGAGGGGAGGGCGAGCAGTGGAAATCAGCCCCAGGCCCTTGCCTGCTGGTGTGGAGCTGGATTAATGGGATCAATGTCCATGTAGGACTCTTTTAGTATGTGTCTTAATTTCCTGTTTGTTAAGAAATAAGTTTTGTGCTCTGGGTTTTATTTTGGCGCTTGGCGTGGAGCTGGTCCCGCCGCTGGGCTGGCGAGCCCTGCTGTGCTTCACACTCCTCTGATCCCCTGCAACACAACCTGTACTCCTGCTGCTTTCTCTTAACCTCACATAACCAGCTTCAGATTCAGCAGAGAGGTAACCAGCAGGCCTTTTACATGACTGAATGCCTCCTTCGGTCCTCAACAAAGAGCTGGCTACGTTTGGGGAATTGTCTCTCATGGCTAGAGATGGAAACTCCTCTTGCTGGGGCTGCTCTCAGCCAGGCTGGGCTAAAATGTGCTGTGGGAAATTGAGGGTGTGTGGAGAAGTGTGGCTTAGAGTATGTAACAGGGTGATTGAGAAAGAGATAGTTACCAGTGTAACTGTCTGCATAAAGCTGCTTTCCAGGTTTAGGGAAAGCTTGTGTGCTGGTTTCAAAGGGAGATCATTAATAATAATGTTATTAGCATCTAATAAGCTTGTTTTATCTATGCAGTGTTCAGACGTTAACTCGGCAGTGTGTGACATGCTTCAGGGGAGGTTAATCCTACCACACAGGTCTCTCCTGTCTATTTAGAACTTGCCCAGAGCCAAGGAGAGGATGGTGGTTTGCATAGAGCTTCTGCTCCCAGCGCCGGTCCCACGGGAGCACCCTCCTGCCATGGAGCCTTGTGACAGCCTTTAGCATCACTGCTGGAGCAGGGAACTGGAAGTATGACATGACCTCCATGGAAATGCAGAACTAACAGGCTCAGAAGATGGTTGAACTCTGGACTTGTGGTTTAAACTGACTAATTTTTCTTTAGGGTTCCCTTAGGCTGTCACCTCACCTATCCTTTTCCCTCTCCCATGGTGACTCCAGGGTGTTGCTTCCTTTGCTGTTCATCATGTGTCTTTAACCGTTTTGCTTCCAGGGCTTCTCTCTGCAGAAAGGGGAGTTTCCCAGCAGAGGCAAGGTCTGAGCAGGAGCATCCCTGGCTGTGCTCCCAGGGGAGCACACACAGAGCAGCTCTCCCAGGCCAGGACTGCTCGGTGGTTTCCCAAACCTCACGCCCCCTTGGACTGTGCATGCCCAGGACCCACTGACCCACAATGGTGGAAAGCTCAGGTGGGAGAACGAGGCATCAGATGTGCGTGTGCTCCTACAGGTCACAAGGACTGAGTAACACCTGTAGCTCTGTGGTCCCATCTTGGCCCATGACACTGTGGCCAGGAGCCCTGAGCTGACCCTGTCCCTTCTCTGTCGCTTCCAGCCGTCCAGGAGGAGAGGCAGCGGGGGAAGGACCGCAACGAGAACGAGGTGGAGTCAACAAGTAGTGCCAATGAGGACATGCCCGTGGAAAAGATCCTGGAAGCTGAACTGGCAGTGGAGCCAAAGACAGAGACCTACATTGAAGCAAATATGGGCTTGACGCCGAGCTCGGTAAGGCACCTTGACCCCATCCCAGGGGCAGATGGGGTGGCTTATGGGGCCTTGGGAGTGACCTGGCAGGAGGACAGTGAGCCGGGGTCAGAGAGGGGTTGGCTGATGGGAAAAGAAATAATTAGAGCTCAGAAATGCAGCTGCTTAGCTCTGCTGTAGATACTGTGTGTGAGCTTAGACAAAAACTTGAGGAAGGCAGGAAGGCAAACCCCTGTGCCCCTGTGCAGCCACCAGGACTGGTGCTGGGCTGTTGTCACGAGCTGGTGCCATAGGCAAGGAACGGATACTGGGAAGTGTGATTAGAAGGGCTCACAGGGAAGATTTTGTTTTAGGGAACAGCCCTTAGTGCTAAAAGGCAGGAAGACTCTCCATGCTCTGAAGAGCTGAGAGTCCCGTCAAGCCAGTAAACAGAGCTGTGTGGCTGAAGTGCAAAGAGAGGAGTAAAATTAATTGCTGTGCCTTGTTATGTGTGTGCTTTTGGGGCCAGGGTCAGCTGCACATGGTTAATTTCTCTTTTACCTTATGGAGATCCTGTCTGGCAGGCCCACACCATCCCATGGATCCTGTGTTAGCAGGAGGTGGCACTGCCACTGCATGGGGTCACCAGGGCTGTGGAGGGTATAAATTACCTCACTACCCTGCTAGGTATTGTTGGGCTTGCTGCTGGGGAAGGGGGAGGCTGGAGTGGGG